GGGCGCCCGGCGCGTCGCGGCGCGCGGAGAAGAGCCGGAACTGCCGATCAGCTGATACCGATTCTGATTCTGATTCTGTCGCGTTGCCTCCAGGCGGTTGCCGAAAACGGCGAGCCGAGCCTTGAGCCGAGTCACCCTGCCGAGCGCATTCTGGAATGAGCCGCGAGTCACATTAGAACGTGTGCTGATCGTGGCTCGTACGGAAATTCACTTGCGGCGCTCTTCCGTAACGCGACGCGACGGGTGCGGGGGAGTGATCGTGTGAAATCTGATGGATATGAAAAAGGAAGTCGGCTGAACGCAGGGTTTGTAGCTTTGATGAGGATGAGAGAATAATGCCGCCTGTACGTAATTTAAGTGGGAAAATTGCGCCGTTTTTTCGATTTTTTCCGCCGAACTTTGTCTTATCCCGGACGAAAAAATTTACCTCCAATTTAGTATTATGAAATTTCCCCTCGCAAATTGCAAATTTTACTGGGGAAACTGTGGGGCGACTTAACTTTCAAACTGAAAATTGTCCTGATTTCTCTCCCGATTGCACGCGAAAAGCGGGAAAATCTTGGAAGGAAACTCCACGGTTATGTTTTTGTGAAAAGTTGATTAGCTCGAATCAATTTTGCACTCATAGAATGGAGGTACGTTTCTACGTGTAAAAAACGACGAATTATACCGTTACAGAAGAATTATACAGACTGACTTGGGAGCAATGGTCGCGATGTCACTACTTCACAGTTTATCTCGATCTCGAAGTTTCAAAATTTTCATGCGAGCTTCGTTTTTAAACGAGTATCGATCGAAATCCTGCCAAAATATCGAGTCGCAGTAAAAATGAAGTACGAAAAGGGATCTTGAGAGGTTGTGATTCAGAAACATGGTTTTTGTCATGTTTTTGAACTGCCCCATTGAAAAACGTATCGATCAATCAAAGAAAAGTAATTTTTTTCCAATATTTCCGAGGGTAATAAGGGTTAAGCGATACGCAAAAGCTAGACCGAATTGCACTGAAACCTCGTAGATAACATATTTGGGTCAAATAAAAGTAACCTGTATTATAGATTTCGTTAAACTTGGGTCTCTCGCCCAAATGCCAACGCCTTCGCAGGTTTGACACATGCTGGATAGGCCTTCCAATAGGACGAAGAGACATTTTAAGCTACTTTATCAAGCGCAAACACTTGCTTTGACTGCGTCTGCCGATTAAGCACTTTTACTAGTCGATGGCCTCTTAACTGGGCTTCGCAAACAATGCCGCTAAGAGAAAATGCCTTCAAATCGGATGGGTAGACAATTTGGCTACCATCGAGCACGAATAGTTGCTTGACTGCGCCTGACGATTGAGCAGTGAGCACATGTAATGTCTGATGGCCACGCTATCAGGCTTTGCGAACAATTTGCGCTAAGAGCAAATGCCTTCAAATCGGACGGGTAGGCAATTTGGCTACCATCGAGCACGAATAGTTGCTTGACTGCGCCTGACGATTGAGCAAAGAGCACATGTAATTGCTGTTGGCCATGCTATCACTCTATCAGGCTTTGCAATAATTGCGCTAAGAGAAAATGCCTTCAAATCGGACGGGTAGGCAATTTGGCTACCATCGAGCACGAATAGTTGCTTGACTGCGCCTGCCGATTGAGCAGTGAACATACATATGAAATGGCTGTTGGCCGTCCTAGCAGGCTTTGCGAACAATTGCACTAAGGGAAGATGCCTTCAAATCGGACGACAGGCAATTTGGACTACCATCGAGCATGAATAGTTGCTCTTGCTGAGCCTGCCAATTTTAAACGCGTCGTAACTGATAAGCGCTCAAACGGGCTTCGCAAACGATTTGCGCTGGTTACAGAAACGAATTTTGCTGATTGCATCTCACAACTTAAAAGAGAAAAAAGGATTTACCATTTACAGTCCTCTTCAGCCTTGCGCAGTTATCTAACTACAGGACAAAGTTTGGAGTCGTCTTTCTAGCGAGCCCGATTTTTGAGGGCTCTGTTTGGTTATGTTTGGAGCGAAAAATAATTTTGTCAGTGCAAAGCGGAATTGGCTGCGCTAATTTTTTACACCCTATGCAGCGTTTGATTTCAATTTTTTTTGCGTATCTGCCCGATGAAGGAGCTCATTGTCAGTGAAGTTAGAGCACTGCATCTTCATCTTTTACCAGGAAATCAGTGCCGCTCTCTCTTTCATCCCTCCAGTCGTAAGTCGCGGGCTCTTTCAATATTTTAACGGCACGATCGCCGGCGTTAGTTCTCATAACAAACTATTATAGATTTAATTAACCTCCTAACACCCGGAGATTTCACACTTTTTACAGTGCTTCAGTCCTGGGATCATTTTCACTTATCGCATTTCCATTTTTCTTACTACAAAAAAAAAAAAAAAAAAAAAAAAAAAAAAAAAAAAAAGGATAGTATTGTTCTCCCCTTTGCAATGCGAATAGAGCAATAAAGTTTGTCTATAAGCTATTCAATGGGGTTCAGTGCAGTGCTCTGATGGCTCAAATTAGAACTTGAAATAGTGGGTCGATTAGCCATTGTGTGTCTAACACTATTACAGCAGGACTTAGAGTGTAATTTAAAGCATTGATCCCTAAATTGTCCATTAATCTTGAGATTAGGAAAATCATCTAGAAAGTGCTACTGACGCCGGGATAATTTTCCCATAAATATGAATGGGTCAAACTTGAAAAATTAGTAAATTTTCTTCGAAAAAGACCGAAAAATTGATTCAAAATATTCAGTGTGAAACAGCCTGTCCGTGTAAAAGAGCGCACTGCTCTCATCAGGGACACGATATTTTTATTTTTTTTTTAAAAAAAACAAAGAGACGCGAAATGTAGGCTTTTTAATTGTGTGAAATTTATTTGCCAAAATCAGTACTATACTGAAAGGCGTGTTGCCGTGTCAAAGGATCATTGTAGTCAATAATACCCAGTTTCACAAACTTGTTTTGTCATACATTTGTCAATCACGATTACGCCAAGAAATTCTCAAAAAGTTGCTCATGAACCATCATCAGGTGTAAAAACTTGTTTTGACCCCCGATGTTAACCGTCGCCTTCATCATTCAGACTAATACTGTAAAGCCAAGTATTCAGTAAAAAGAAGATGAACACCGAATAGAAAACAGGTGAAAGCAGCTGTTTTTATTCAGAATCAAATTTTTCTTTTACCTTTTTCTTGGAATTCTTGATAGAAGAAAATTTAAGACTCGTAAAGTCAAAATTAATCCTCCAACATTACTTTTCTAAAACTTAGCTTGATTCCTCATGCTAAATTCAGTTTAATCTTACTTGAATCACGAGGTTCATTAGTGCTTGATGTAGTGCGTGAAAATATTGTGTCTCTGATGGTTCTGAAAAATCGAAAACAGACTTTTCCACTGACTGCAGCGCTGCCGTGCTAAGGAAGAACGCCGTATGAACATTCGAGAGTTGCCAAATTTACTTCGATAAAATGTTTACTTTTGAGGAAAGTTATGAATACTTTTCCTTGAAATTTTCAGAATCTCAAGGTGAAATCGCGAACAAAATTACTTGGAAAATTGGGAGGAAACTGTTCATAGGTTTACCAGAAAATTCGCGTTTTATGAAAGGAAATTTGGCAACGCCTTAAGGTTCATACGGCGTTTTTTCCTTAGCACGACAGAGCGGGTCTCTCGTAGAAAGAGCGGAATATTATTCGGTATGCGTGCAAGCACACTTTTTATGAGGTTACGATAATGAAGCCCGAGTAGTGGCAGAAAAAGGGGATTTTTACACGAGAAGATAAAATAGGAGATAAAACATTAACGAAAATGCGTTACGTAAGCTGACGCTACACGATCGATATCTACGTCTACGTATCGGGGTGAATCCCCTCGGTGACGCGATGGCACGAGCAAGGCAGTTCATGTTGACTGTTTTAATCACAACACTACTAAAAATAACAGCAGGTATCAATGATTTCACTCACTGACTCGTCAACAAATAGCAAAAAAATTGCTGGCGTTAACAGAGAAAAACAGGAGGTCATGCGGAGGGATCTATATGCCCATTTCACGGTGAAAAACAAAATTATAGAACCTGATAGAAAATCATTGAACTCGCGTTGCGTCTAATTAATTTTATATAAGTTACTTTTCATTCCTTCGATTGTATTCTGCGTTACCCTTATTTAGTGCTGCTACGCGTTATAGTTTGGTTTCTCACATCAATTCGCAGATTGCGATAATTACTGTCTTTCAAAAAGTCATACAGACTGTAAAACGCTACAGAATGGAGGATTTGGTTTCTGAAACACTTTTACTCCACTTAGCTGGCTGACATCCCTACTTTGTTACTAAAATAACGCTTAGATTTTCAAAATCGATTTTTATTCGAAATTCCACGAATCTTAGCTAAATGCACTGAATGATGCCTTCGTGCGAAAAGCGAGATAATCGCCCTGCTTGCAAAGTATGAGGCTTTTCGGAGAGTACGGTAAGTGCGGAAAATTCGACGCCATTTTGTCGTTTTCCTAATGAAAAAACGTAACCACATTTCAATTTCACCATACTTTCCCCTCGCAAATGGCATATTAAACGGGCGAATCCTAGGTGTTTTTAACTGAAAATTTCCTTGGGTTTTCTTCAAGTTTCATGGAAAAATCAAAGCAATTTTGATAAAAACTGCACAGGTACCTTCTAAAATGAAATTAATTGTTTGAGTCAACTTTGCAACCTTGGAATGGAGTTACGTTCTTTCGTCTCCGATACGACGATTTTAGACAAAACAGCAGTAAGTCCATATAACTGGCCGAGGCGGCTGGGTTTATTGCTGCTTTGAGTAAAATGGAACCTTTTCCCTTTT